CATTACTTCTTTATTTGAAAGAAAATGAAACTCTCGTTATTTATAAAGTAGAAAATCGAAGGAAATTTACAAAAATAAACAACAAAAATCCTGTTTTACAAAGTACGGTAATATGAAAATAATATATGAATTAAAACTATATTATATTTATTTAATTTATAAAAATAAACGATTGAAAACGTATTTGTTATTAAAAATAAATAAATGTAAATATATATTTTTATTAAATTTATATTCTTTTTTGTATTGAATAACTAGGAAGTGCAATATATGTATCTTTTTATAGAATGCCTTAAAAATCTCTCGGGTTACGTGTATATGGCTTCTTTTCCAGAAGTAATATAGATGCTTTAACTTCAGAAAAGTTCGCTGCACTTTTCCATAAGAAGCTGAATTTCACCAAATTCTTTTATACGACGAAATAATTTTCGAGCTATCATATTTTATGTTTATAAAATAGGACTATACGAATAAATAAGTTAAAGAAATGTTTGTTGGAATTTTATTTTGACAGAATATATATGTATATTACTATCGTATGCATTGGAGAATACACCGTGTATATAATATTATTGATAATTTACTTTATAAACCATTTTATCACAGTTTTTATATATTTAAAAGTTCTGAGAACATCGATAAAGGCATTAGTAATACGTTTTAGAAGCATTATATGAATTTGATAGTCTTTATTGATAGCATTTTACAAATCTAGTAAAAGGAAGAATTTTTATTTATTAGTCTTGCAGAAAGTATTGATTTGTAAATTGCTGCAAGTTATGCAAGAAACATTTTTCATTGGTATTCATATTATGATGCTGTAAAGATGAATAAAAATCTGCTAATACATCTGTCTAGTAGGGTTATCAATACCCCTAATATATTACATTTCTTTCTTAAACTATCTGCAGTACAGAACATAAAATATATACATATATATATATATTTTAATAATTAACAATTTTCTATTGTAAACAATAATTTTATTTTGAATCTATTCTAAACTTTTAATTAATTTTAATTTTTATAAATTTATTTATGATTAATACTGTCATAAAAAAAGGAATAAAGGATTTGTCAGTAAACACATCATATATTCGCTCCAAGTAATACAAAATGCTATAGTCATTGTGTTTAGAAGATGTGTGCTTAGTCCTGGTGGAAAGCCTGACCAAACACATTTCCTCTGCTTTGGATTTTCACCGAATGCATTAACTACTATACTACCGGGCCACACTCATTTAGAATTTATATAAGCAACTTAATTTCGCCTTGGGATCTAAATATGAATTATGTAAGTTAATAAATTTATTAAAAAGATATTTATTAATTAATAAAATAACATACAAGTAAAAACTTTTATTAAAGTAAATATTACTTAATTTATATTTTAANACGCTAATTGATGATGCTGTTATTAAATAATAAATAAACTGTAAACCATTATTTATAAATAAATGTCATATAAGTTTAGTTCTTATTTAATATTCAAGTTTTAATATTTGTTCTTATTCTTATGCTTTTATACAGTAAAATTCAATTTTATGAATACGCATTTCTTTCAAATTTAAATGATGGTTTAATAGTATGTGTTTATTAGTTCGATATTTTTATATTTAGCATTATAATTAAGTTATTGTTAACTGTTTGTTGATTATAAAATATCTAAAGAGTAATAATGTATCATTGACCGTTTTATGTATCATTAAATTAACGATATTAAAATTCTCCTAAGTCATTACAACGTCAAAATTTTTACTTTAACCTGCATTACCTGCTGCATAAGATATTCGTCTTTATTACTGAGGTCGCAGCCGTCCATAATTTTTACCCATAAATCTAACGTTCGTTCCTTTATCCTGAAAATTTAGTATAGTGCTTCCTTTCTTCTAATAACCATGAATTATTTACTACAGTTCATATGACTGTTGATATTATAATATTTGAGACACAATATATGACAGAAAAAATTGTCTATAACATGATTTTTTCTGTATCTTATGTAACTCTCTCATAAAGAAAATGTTGGATATAGAACTTTTTAATAAAATTACGTTTTATAAATTCGAATTGTATAATTAAATTCTGTAATTTTGAATTGTTTATATCTTAATAAATGAAGTTGTAAGGTGTAATAGATAATTTTAATTATCATTGTCACAATTACAAATTTAAAGGTTTTTATATACTAAATCTATTATTTCGATCAGGATATATTGAATGATAAGAAAGTAAGCTTTTTTAATAACTAAATGTGTGATTTTGTTAATAAATGCTTACCTTCTTTGTAAAATTTTATTGATTAATTTATTTTCCACATGAAAAGTAATGCCTTAAAACAAAAGAGATAATTGCCCCTTAATAACATGTTAATTTATAAACATAACAAATAAAGTTACACCTAAAAACATGAATAATATAACAAACAGATTCAGATATCACAAAGTATGTAGAAATTAAAAATTACATGAATAAGGTAATGATTTAAAATGTCATAAACAAGTAGAATGATTTTTTAAAAATAAAAACCACAGAGCAGGCAAAAATTGTAATCTGACCCACGTTTAGCAGAATTATTGATAATAAATTCGGCTCCAATGCACTTTTGAAAAATGCCTTCTGTTATTTTAAATGTTAAAAATATTTTTTTTATATTACTGATAGATGTAAATTTGGATCTTATTCGAAATCAAATTCAACTTTTTCAGACTGTCGATCCCGAAATGGAAATTTTCTTATATAGATTTAGAGGAGTGTTTGATCATTATCAAAACAAATTTTTGAATGACATAAGATAAAATAAAATTTATTGAATAATACAGTGATATAAAAATGGTATAAACAATAAGTAAATCTATATTATTTTAATTTACTTTTATTCGAGATATTTATTAAAAGTAAGTTTCTAAACAATATTTACGTTATGTAGAGTCAAGTATATAAAATTTCAAAGGATGTCGAAGGTATTTTTACAGACAGAACAATTATTGCTATAGTGGATTTGTATTATACGAAAATCTAATGTACAATTTCAACAGATATAATAATAATTGAATGGTGTTTATTTGACAATATTTTTCATAGGAAAACTATTCGTTCTTCTGATCTAGAAGGTGGATACAAATCAACTCTTCAATTCATTTTTATATTGCCTTTCTGTAGACAATAATCTGATCGCATTTTAACGATGAAAAAAATGTTTTATAAATTAAAAAATATTACAATAAGTGTATTTAATATTATTTTATAGTTTAAACGATATTGTTTGGTTTGATAAAGATAGAATGAATTTCCTTCCGATATAAAATGCATAAGATTTTTTTAAGTTCACTTTTCTAATTACATAATTTATACTCAATAATTTTTAATTAAATAACGCTATCTCAGTAGAATTCTATTTTCATTAGAGCCTATGGAACAATTCTCTTGACTTTATACATTAAAGTACAGTAAGGTACCTTAGAGTAAAATTTTGGATACTCTAATGAAATATGTAGAGTAAATTAATTAATAGGAATATAATTGAATATGCTCCCCCATTATATATTTATTAAAAATTAAAAAGATAAAAATTTAAACTTATATGCATCAATATATAATTGTTAAAAGAATGTGCATATTATCATATATTTTAAAACTACAGTTGTTTTGAAGTAAGTTATGACAGAACCGATTTACTTAAAACAGTACTGTTATAAAAAATAATATGCTAACATAACTTATATTAATTTATATAGATATAACAAGATACGTCTTGTACTCAAAGGAGTCTTACATATATATAAGTGAGAGCAAATTTTTTTATAAGATGTTTTTATACATTTCGACCAACATTGACAAACTTCTAAATAAATTGCTCCTAAATAGCGCTACCCACAAAAATTGCCAATGAATATTTGTAAACAAATCTTCTCCTGAATATTAAAATTAAATACAGAACCATTCAGTGTTTGTGAATTGTTGGGTTGCAATTTGAAGAAATTGTAAACCTATAAATTCCCACTGTCGTCCGTCTGTCTTTCGTTAATCCCAAAAACGGAATTTATATATATGAATGACGAGACCAGGTATGAAAATCGTAGAAGCAGGAGACAGCGATTAACTTCCGATATGTATGAACTTCCAACGAAAAGCGGAAATCATGTTATTTCAATTCAAAAATTCTCCCTAAAAGAGTTAGATGACCGGCACGACTCGATTGCAAAAAGAAAAGTATGATGTACTGTACAGGGGGAAGACACTGCTATTTGAAGGTGGAGTGTATATATTTTAAATTAAATAAATTAAAAATATGATTAAAAATTGCAAGCACGACCGACATTGTGACAATGTCACAATAAATAAATGCTCGTTATATATACGATTTTACATTGAAAAGGACATTGTTATTGCCAAATCATTTGATTTTCAAACTTACAAATTTACAAATCTATGTATGGACTTTATTATTATGTGTAATTCTTATTGTTGAGTTTATTTGCTTTAACTGCATATTAGATTTAATACCAATTTCAAAGGTAAACAAAATATTGACGCTAATTGAGGTTTTACTACAAGTAAATTCCTTATAATGTAAAGTATTACAACGAATTTTCATATGTAAAATATGTAATATTTAAATGTAAAACATTCGGTTGTTTTAGTTTTAAAGTTAACGATTTTACTTTAATTCGATGAATTACCTTTTCTTTTTAAACTTGATTAAATTTTTCGAATAGATTTGTGAATTCTTCCCTTTCACTAGTGTAAAATTGTAAATATTTTTAACTGATTAGGAATTTAAGTTAAACTTACGATTTCTTTTAGAATGCTGACAAAATATTGCATAATTTAACAAAATATTCCTAATCTTTAACTGTGCAATCCATTCTTCATATTTTACTGGAATGTGTCTGGAGTCAATCCAAAACTTTCAAGTTAATTTTTTTGCATAAAATATTAAATTTTCTTTATAATTATGTTGAAATTGAATTCTGTGGACTTAAAATCTGTTTAATTTCATCTAATAGACTGGACAGTAATTGGTCATTTGTACTTTTTCCATCCACACTCAACCTGTTAGGATTCTGTTAAAAACAACAAATTAGTAAAATTTAAATAAAATTTTAACTAATTAACTATTAACTAACTTACCAAATGTTTGACTAGTAAACATATATGATCATCTTGGATTGAGCGACTATAAAGAGAGGCACTAAGTCCAACTTGCTCCACCACTGTAAATATATAAATAATTAAATCATTACTCATTATAACAGAAGTTAAATTTATTTCAACATAAGTTTCATTCAATTTGTAAATATCTAAATTGTTAAAAACTGTAGGAACATTTTTTTTTAATAAATATAATGCACTATAGATAGAATTTTATATAATGTACTTTTTAAGAATCATCATAAAACATATATACTGTGTACACATTAATGCCTACTTAAAATTGCCCATTTATATGACTTTCTTGCTTAAAAATCTAATATTAAATCAAATTCAGAATAATCTTCATATATTTAAATATATGAGTACATGGAATATAATTTATGTACTTTGTTCTTTTAATATATTAAGAAATTTTACATCTAAGAAATGTATTTCCAATTTAGCAATTTACCTCCATAGTAAATGCTATTTTGTAAATAATGTAATTAAAATATTTTTTCCATTTAATGACAAATCACTATAACCAGGACAAAATGAGCTGTATAAGCAATATTGAACTATTTGTCTGAATATTAATATTGCTTAACATTCAGAACAATATATGAATGTTAAACAATATTGTGTGTGTCAGCCACTAAATACGATCATTAAAAAGTTGCAAATTGCAAATCATCATTACAGTGAAAAGAACAAACAAGTACTCCTTCAGCAAAATTAATTATGTTGTAATATCCAGGGTCCGTACAGGTAATTTAATCTGTGATTCCCTGACTTTCCAGGTATGTATGGACCATGAATATCTTTCTAATGTTTGCAACTTTATTAAGTACACCAAATGTTTGTTTCAAGATAATTACTCCTAATGCCAAAAATCTAGTATCAAGTTAAAAAAATAATAGAAAATATTTTATAAATAATTAAAAACTAGAAAAAATAGAAAACTAGAGAAACTATAAAACTAAAACTAGAGTTCAAATTTTTCATTCATTATTATTTATATATAACTTCGTATTACTAATATCCAACGGAGAAACTTAATACTATTCATTCATATTTTTATACAATCCTGCTGTTCAATATACTGCATTTCCTTGATTCNTTAAAATAAAAACTTTACACTTATATCCTTTTTCAATAAAATGACAAATGTCAAATAAGAGAAAAAAATCTCCTTTTCGAAGTATCGACTCATGCAAACAGGCTGCGCTCTTTCTTCCATGGTTGGTCAGAGTGATCGCCTTTATTAAATTAAAGATCAGTCTTCATGTAATTCAATCCTATTTTCAGTCAGAAAAATCCATTGGAGTGTAGCCCCCCTCTTTCTTACATTTAACAACAAGCAAGAAGACAGACCATAGTAGGAAAATGCTCGCCTTCTCTACTCTCTCTCAGATAATATGAAAGAAAAAGTAGAACAAAGACAGAAACACGTTAAAGGATTTACTGTTTGCCATAAAATGTTGAACGAAATAAAAGCTCTTTTCTTACACATACTTTTCTATGCGTTATCACTCAATAGAAATTGTAGATGAAAAGCAGCTTTGTAGCCCTTTACGATCATTGATAAACTCGCACGCTATTTTAGATTAGAGTGTACCCAAGATACAATATATATTAAGAGCCTAAATCAATAAATATTAATTACCCTATTAAAGATGATATCTAAACATCGTTAAATTTTGTAACTGCTATTGATTGAAATGCATTATATTTAAGCGAAGATAGAATAAACGCGTCATTGATATGGTAGCGAAAAATATCTTTATACCAATAAAGATTATAAAATAACGTTAAAAATACAGAATCATTTTATATTTTCGCATCAACTTATTAATATATTACTTTCAATTTAAATTTTTAAACAGTATTTATTTACTTAATTTAATGGATAGATATCCTCATAAAAGTTTTATAAACATTTTATATCATTTTTGTATTTGATTTAATATTTATATGTTTTTGTCTACGCGATATAAAATTTAATTTTTTTAATGAAAGTGTTTAAAAATAAATTTTAAACGTTTCTTATTCACGTTTAATATAAGTAAAGATTTAAGCCAGTTTTTAAATCTTATAAATGATTTATGTAAGCATTTTACGCTTTATTATCTGTAAAAATATTAACTTTATATTAAAACTTAAATTATACTTAAAAATTATAATTTATTTATATCTATTAAGTAAAACACATAAATAATGTTTAAAGCATAGGAATTTATAAAATTATATTTAGTTTAGAATGTATAGGAAAATTATTAACCATTTTCTATCACATTTAAATAATGTTATGACAATATAAATCAAAAATTTGTTTGAAAATCATTGTTTCATACTTGTTAAATTATTATAAAAATTTTATAAATTATTTAAATTTTGAAAAAGTAAATTTAATGTTTAATTTTTAAGGTTTGAAATAAAAGTAAGCATATTTAAAATTTACTTAATAATTTCTATTTTAAAATAAAAACTTCTATTCATTTTTATTCAATTTACTACGAAGACAACGAAATTAAAACATTTTTGTAAATAATNTAATACGAATTTCAAATAACAATAAAATGTTTATTATAACTAGTAAATATGTCATACATTGATGTTTAAACTATCAATTTCTGCCAGAAGTTTATAGATTCCTTTAAGATTTTTGAATTTAGAATGCTTCTTACTGCCAGCAATTTATTAATAATAAAACTAATTTACTTTTATAAATTTAATTGCAATTGTTTAAAGTATCTATTTTAAGAAATACTTCATTTTTTATTAATGTATTTTGATAATGACAATAAAGTGCATAAAATAAAAATTGCCTTTTCTAAGTTTTTAATATGTTAAATGTTAATAAATTGCATAATTTTTAACATATTATTTTGTAATTTAAGCACTACTTTTTTATGTTACAGAAACAGAACACTCGTTCTACACTTTCGTGTGCAATGCAAGCTTTTGCAAAACCTCCTTATTTAATAATTGTAAAGTAGAACCCATTTTGAACATTTGTCCCTCATCAGTTATTAGTTGTTATTTATTATGTGTTGCAAAAAATTTAAACGACATTAATGCTCCTGTAACACAATTAAAAATATTGCATTTATCTTATTTGCATAATTGATACTAACATTAATAGTTTCTTACATATATCAACTATTTCAGAAAATTATAATTTTCTACAATTTTCAAATAATTTTTTTCATTTTGCTTTATAGCTACAGAGTCGCTGAAAAGTCCGTTAACCGCGAAATGAATACTTTACGATCTTATTTCAACACTTCATAACGTACAAACTAAAAAAAGCTGTATATTACGAGATATTTCTTGTCAAATACATGAAGCATACAGCTCTTACACTCTATCATTCACTTTTAGTATAAATTTAGATAAAAATAACACGGTTAACAAACTTTTGAACCACCATATAATTTAATTTGTCGATGGCAGTCTTTCTTAAAACATCTTTCTTTTTATTTTTATGAACAGTTAAAAAATTTATGACATTTTAAACAGAAAACTAGAAGATTTATATCTTCTATTCTATACAAGTTAGGTATAGTATTTGAAATATTTTATTTTTTAAACAGTTAAAAAATACTTAAATAATTTTAGTGATTGTTAAAACATATGACCAATCTAGAAATAAAGATAATTATTTAAGCATAATATTAATTTAAAAACATTAATTGGAACCCTTATTTGTATATTTCACATAAAACAGTTTATGTTAACATTTAATATAACATACGAGTATCTTACATATTAAAAAATGTATGCACATTTAATTAGTAGTGTGATTCCAGAAATAAATAATTACCGAATTACTGCTACCCGCAGAGTATCTAGCAACAAAATGTAATTAAACTTTAACGATAGGAATCATTACTGTGTAAGTTCATTGGCTAATCTTGTGTAAGATCCTTGTGCTGAAGGTAAATGAAAAATATTTTATTATAGTAATTAATACCAATCATTAGCAATAAATTAACGAATGTTTATATATATATATATAACCTTTAATGTTATTCTATATACGAGTATAAACAAATAAAATTAAAAAAAACTGTCTTTAATCAAATTTCTTACATATGTTCTGGCACATTAATAAATTAACTTAATCTGGTTAATTATATATCATTAACAAACTTATATAAATTATTATATTAATGTATATAAATTTATTTATGATTAATACTGTCATAAAAAAAGGAATAAAGGATTTGTCAGTAAACACATCATATATTCGCTCCAAGTAATACAAAATGCTATAGTCATTGTGTTTAGAAGATGTGTGCTTAGTCCTGGTGGAAAGCCTGACCAAACACATTTCCTCTGCTTTGGATTTTCACCGAATGCATTAACTACTATACTACCGGGCCACACTCATTTAGAATTTATATAAGCAACTTAATTTCGCCTTGGGATCTAAATATGAATTATGTAAGTTAATAAATTTATTAAAAAGATATTTATTAATTAATAAAATAACATACAAGTAAAAACTTTTATTAAAGTAAATATTACTTAATTTATATTTTAAATTATTATTTATTTAAAAGCAGTTATTTCCGCTATAATTTATCAAAATATATTTAAGTTACAATTAATGTTATCATCAGTTAATCGCATTTGAGAATAATAATTCATTTTTTTCTCAAAAATATTATTATAATTTTAAATTTTCATATTTTAAATATAATAGATTCATTGAGAAACTCTAATACTAGCCTATATTATAAGTAATAATATATTAATAAAATATAATTTTTATACACATATTTTATGAGATATAAGAAACACAGACACTTTTTATTTCTTATATTTTTGTAATATTATATTATAACTAAATTATAATAAATTGTATTAACAGGATTTTTCTTTGCATAGTGCTAATAAAAGTACAGAGCCAGCATGTAGATACAATCGCACTACAACGTTGGCACTTAATACAATTGCTCTATTTTCGTTTTCATTATCACAGTCCATTCCCTGTGGGAAATACTCTTGGTGACGTTATCATTATTATGTGACAGATAGTCATGATATTTTCGATTGAACTCTAAGAGTATATATTTTTCATCGGTAACATAAAAATGTTCTTTATTTTT